AAGATTTTTCATAAAATAATGAAATGTGACAGAACAACCTAACCTTACTTTAAAATACTTAAGGCAATTACTTTTGAAAAGAATTACTGTGGCTAATAATGGAACAATAATATAAGAAACACATTTGTAAAATCCAATTTATGGGTGTAAGACTTGAGCAAATTTTAAGTCATAGTAAATTCAGCCATTTTACTTCAATGTTTCACATAAGAGCTATATGATAATTATGCCAAACACAACTACTCAAATGTATTATAGGAACCGCTGAAATCAGCGGTATGATTTTTATGTACACAACATTAGAAAGACTTTGAAAGCCAATTTGGACATTGCAGATGCACTTTAGTAAAACAACCACACCTTCCATAGTACTGTGTACTTGTCTTCTTATCAATAAAAAGATTTTAAGGTATCTTAATATAGATAAAAGCCTTATTTGTTATAAATTAATGGTACTTGGAATCTTTAAAAAGTCTTATTTTTCCCAGTTGAGTTTTCTTTAAATATCAAAACTGGACAAAAAGGTTCCTCTATTCCTTATGGGCATAAATTAACTACACTGCCTAAAAAAATTCCTTAAAGATGCTTTCAGATTATGTTTTGTAGATCAAGACAGTGAAAGCATAAGTTCATGCCAAAAAAAGTCATTTTGACATTTCAAATAAAAAGTACACACATATGAAATAAAAGCCCACCACTAAGCTTTCCATTCACCAATCACATCTGGAAATTGAGGAGTTGATGTGTGCTTGGAGGAAGAAAATAAGAATCTCAAAGTTATTCAACTTTTTGTGTAAGCCACTATGAAAAATTATGCTAATTTAATATAGTGTAGTAAAGTTTTCTGATAGTCTAATACCTGGTCTGAGAATCTGCTTAAGATACGTAAAACAAGAAGAGTAACAAAATCCTTTCATTCTCTCCACTGCAGAGTTTAAGTCTGTATGCATGTAAATCCCAATTCATCCTCTCACACCATTAGGCCTGAGAAAAACAAATTGCAGACTCACCATATGATTAGTTTAAAAAACGGGCATCGCCTTCTGCCAAAAAAAAAAAGAAAACTAGCACAAGATGTATGAATACTTTATCATTGCCAAATGGAGTTTAAGAAGCGGTGGCCATAAAGAGAAGTGACTTGTAAGTTGAGTAAGAGTAATTCTAGTAAACAAACTAATAGGTCTTCCACTAACAATTCAAAACAGAAGCTCGCAACTTGCTACACGCAAACACAGTTCTCTCTCGGACAGACTAACTGGCAGTTTCCTCCAAATATACTAAATGCCACGGAGATATATTCTGTATACATTGATACTACAATTTCATTACTCCTTGACTAATTGCAACAAATGGGGTTCCTTTTTTGTTGTTGCAGAACAGCAGCTTGAACTTTTTCCCTATGCAAGTAGAGAGAATTACTTCTGAGTGAACCACCCTCTCAGGTGCAGTGTACCAAAACTTGCTGTTGTCCTCCTGAGTTCCAGGAGTGACTCCTGAGTGACTTTATCACTGCTCTAACACTGACTTTTACAACCTAGTCCTGTTGCTAACAGCCTCCAAACTAATTGCCACTAAAGGAAAAAAAGCGTAATAAGGCCCTTCCCCCACAACATTAGTAATGCTGTTAGGTCTACCATTCCTAGAAATCTAGTTAATCTTATTGACTGTTTCTCTTTTCTGCATGAAGTCAGTGCTTGGCATTAATTCTATGCTAGCTTGCAGTACAGCCTGTCACAAGATGTTAGTTACTATTGCAGGAGCTACTAGGTTCTTCATTACTAGAAATAACTTAATTATCTGGGCAATGGACAGAAAAGCATCCAGATAAAGGATTTCATTTTCAAGAATCTCACACATGGGAAAAAAAACCCAAAACAACAAACCACACAACAACAACAAAGTCTCGCCTTCCACAGCAAGCACCATTCTAAACAAATTCTGTTTCTATATGGAAGTTGTAAATTCTCAATAGCAAACACAAAGAACATACCTCAAAGTAATTAAAGTACATTAGTACATTGAGCTTCATAATCACATAGGGAGTGGTAAATAAAAATATCACAACTTCTGTAAAGGACTGCTCTTCTGGTTAGGTGCTTTGGCATAGCTGGCAGGGCAAAAGGAATCACAAAAGTATACGCAGTCCTGAAAAACATTTGATGATCATCTGATCTGACAAAAAAATACACCCTGCAATCAGAACCACAAATGAATCTGAATTAGAAAAAGTAGGGATGAGTATCTTGAGAACCACCATTCAGAAACAACGTTTCTTGGTTCATCTCTTCAGTATTTTCAGAATGAAGGAAAAAAAACACCTTAAGTACAAACTCTGGCCTGTATTCAGAGATTGAATCTAGCGTCTCACAAAAAGAGACACTCTGAACAAATAAAATGAACGGAGCTTGGATGGAGGTCCAAACCGTCTGAACTGCGTAACTCTTCCAATTCTTTCCCAGAATAACTTGAACAAGGCACAACAAAAACTTCCACATCTTCAATCAATTCTAACTGAAAATTCAATACCAGATACAGTAAAGGCAGTTTTGCTTTTATGCATGGTTCTCCTTCTCCTCTTATAAATTAGAGGGATGAAATGGAATCCACTTCAGAAGCAATACCCTGACAGGGGGAAAAAAAAAAAGGGGGGGGGGGGGGGGGGGGGAGGAAAAAAAGATGCAAAGTATGTTCCAATCCTGTATTTACTCATATGTTGGCTATAGATATATGGCCCATTTTTGCTACACAAACAAAACAGAACTTGATTTCAGGTTTTAAAAGTGGTTTTAAAAATAGTAAGGGGGGAAAAAAAAAAAAGGGGGGGGGGGGAGGGGGAAAGGACAAAAGAGCACGAGGAAATGACTAAACTGTCTGCTGCACAAGATTTCCAAACTGCTGTCATATCCAGCAACCTTGTAAGTAGGGCTGATCTTCAGACCAATTACAGCTGCAGCTGAAACTCATCTGCATCTCTTTTGCTTTCCAAACCAAGCTGTTTGAGAGGCTGAGCCTCCCAAAATAAAAGTCCGTCAATCTACTAGACTTGCTGTATGCAAAGACTGAGCAAATGTGTTACAGATACTGAAAAAGGAGTAATCTTGTAAGTACAACTTTTGAACATGCGCATTTGGTATAGGATGCAAAGTGCATTGTTATCTTCATAGTAGATTAAAAACTCTTCGCCTAACCAGTGTCAAGTATTCTGAGTTACCAGTCTATTAAATTAATCCACAAATGAAAGTCAACCACCAAAATTACCCACTAAATGAATTCACTAATTAAAGTAACAAAAACTATCCTTATTCTTGGATCCAACAACTTCTTGAAGCAGCAACAAGAAGGAAATGACTAGTTAATAGACAACATATCCCTTTTACAGCTTTGTCCCAAGAATATTTGAGAACATCAGAAGGAGGGAAAAAAAGCAAGTGTTTTAACATTATCATTGTAAGAAGTATTTAGTTTTCAGCTGCCCTGCTTCATAGAACTCAAACAGGAATATATTAAAGGCACTCAGAAGAGAAATCTCTCTCAGAGGTTCTACTACATATCAGATTTCTATTAGACATTCAACTTTTGCAGACTTGTTTCATTCAGTCAAGAACAATACTGAACCTAGCACTGCAAGAAATCAGTCATTTTAAGTCTTACAAAAAGTTCTGACCAAATGTTATTTCATCTTCCCATCACAATTAAAGAAGTATCCTAGAAACACTCAGCAGACTGCTCACGGTTCTTCCCACACCCCGAGGAGCATGGATTCTGCAGGCACAGGTATGATTACACATCAACTGTGAGATTACATGTACAGGTAACAAACTTTTCTATCTCCTTAGAAAGTCCAGAGAACTACAGAATTAATTGCTTTACAGCCTTCAAGCTCCTCTTTTATAAAAGCTCTGCCTCTTCAAAAACATTAACACAGACTAAAATTTGATATGCAATTCCAAATCAGTGCCAACAACAGCTTTAGACGTTAATTTATGTACCAGAACAATAACCTATTTAAAAAAAAACCTCTAAAAATTGATAAAGAAAAATAGCAGAACTAGAGTAAGATAGGAAATGTATTCAGTCATCATTTCTTCTATCATATGTCTACACACTTTGCTGTACCACCATCTTCTTGAGCAGTGCTTACCCTACTGAGCAATACAAGCTTACAAGAGTGAACACCGAACAACGGATGCAAAACAGAGGTGGTTCCTCATCGAATCCATTTACATGTCACTTTATAGGTGGAACATAAAAGAAGGATTTCTCACTTTCCAAACAAAGTCTTGAAGTCAAACACTGAAGCTATAATACAGCAACAGGCACATCTCTCCTGCAAATTAGTTATAAAAGATCCTTACGCACTACCTGACAGAAACAAGTTTGCTACAATCTTCCAAATAGTACTGCAGCACACACGCACAAGGATGAACACAACCCTCTTTTAGCATCTTATAACAACTCCCAGAATGGGGAGACGCTGGAAAATTTCAATAGCTCTCTCATGCAAGGTAGGAATTCAAGAGAAATCCACTGGGTGCATTCTCACTCCAGCTGGAAAGTTATAAAACCAACTCAAAGAGTACAGTACTACTCTGAGGTGGACAAGAGAAAAATTTTCTAGGTAACTGGACATTATTGCCAATAAGACCTGCAGCGTAATGCCAGAGACTAACATATAAAGGAAAAAGAATTTCTGTTATTGTGGACTCAAAATTAGACCTATTAATAAAATCACTTTAAACATCTGCTCTGTCAAAGATAATAGTAACCAAGCCTGAAATTCAGAAGTAACCATAATTATGAAGACAGTTTTCCAGACAACAGACTGTTCCTGCTTATTTGCCAGTAAGATTAAATAGAAAAGGCTAATTTTCAAAATAAAAATATATTCTTAAAAGCCACTAAGTCAAGTAGTTGTGAAGCAATTTTGAGTTTAGAAAAGCAAAGAGCTATCTTTAATCTACTAACAGTGAAAGTACTAACTGGTTGAGGCATTAGGATACGTGTAGAGTTCCATGTATCTGGATTTTGCCATACTTTGTCTCGTGTAAACCTGTTGAATTCCAGCTCTTAGGTCATCCCAGATCTGGTCAAGACCGATCTGTTTAAGTCCATGCGGGTTCTGACTCCTATTAGATGACATTTTGTATTTCCTGTAAAGTCTTCCAGTGCAGCAGCCTGAGATCTGGTTATTCCTCCATCAGAATCACAAGTCAAGTAACATTCTAAACTCAGTTGCAGCAACTCAGTGAGACATTCTTTACATAGAAAGAGTGATGCTTCCTGGGAAGATAATCTGCAAAAGGAAAAGAAAATATACACGTTATATGACAGTCCAAATTCATTCACACTAGAGAGAAAGATACAAAATTAATGATTTCATTGAAACATTTTCTTTTACACAGATGAGAAATCCATGATGAGATCTGAAATACCAGAACCAAGTAATTTTGCAATTCAGGAATCCACTACAAAATGGGACTGTTAGGTGCCCAGATCTGTCCAAAGCCTGTAGGTACTTCGGTCAGTGCTGCTGACAACAAAACCCTAATGCTAATAAGAAAACGTAACAGTAAAAATCTTTCCAAGCAGCAGACACTATCCTACTAAGAAATGTTTCCTCCCTATACAACAGTAAAACTCCAGTATTTGCAAACAACTCAGGGTTCTGTGGTAATTCATTGTTTAACTAGAATCCTGACGGATATCCAAGGTTAACCAGAAGATGCTAAAAATAACTATTTTTATTTATTATTTTATTTGTTATTATTTATTTATTATTTTTACTATTTATCAGTAACTTCCAGACTTGAGATTCTATTACAGGTAACCTGAAAGTCCAAGGTATTTTGCGAGCAGAGAATTTTTCTATCTGGTAAACGCATGCTTACATTGATTTCTTTGCTAAGTAAATGAACACTACTTCCTTCAGTGTCATCTTACCAGCAAGAGAATACGCAGCCAATAATGTTGGGAAGAAAGAACAACTAATGGAGTGCACAGAACAAAGATTGCATGAGTTGTGAATGAAAGAATAAGAAACTAAGAAAATGCACTACTCCCATGAGTGCTTAAGCGTACAAAGTTTGGGAGGTGGTGAAAAGACGGTTATCAATTCATCAGCCTTGTGAAATGACAGAGTAGGAAAACAGTCACCTGGAAAGGACTACTGACAATATCAAGCAGAGAAGATCCATTTTTACACAAGTCCTTAAAAATATTTTGCTATTTTAACACGTCTCATCCACCGTAGCAATCAAATTAAGACGACACCTGAAAATTGCAAAGGAGGTAACACAATTTAAAAAATTAACCCACAAATAACAGAGTTGTAATAACTCAGGACCAACTTACTCTTACTGCAGCCTTCCAATATAAAAAGGGGGCTTATAAGAAAGATGGAGAAAGACTTTTTACCATGGCCTGTAGTGACAGGACAAGGGTCAATGGTTTTAAATTGAAAGAGGGCAGATTTAGACTGGATATAAGAAGAAATTTTTTACAATGAGAGTGGTGAGACACTGGAACAAGTTGCCCAGAGAAGCTGTGGATGCCCCACCCCTGGACGTGTTCAAGGCCAGGTTGGACAGGGCTTTGAGCAACCTGACGTAGTGGAAGGTGTCCCTGCCCATGGCAGGGGGGTTGGACTAGATGACCTTTAGAGGCCCCTTCCAGCCCAAACCATTCTGTGATTCGTAACCTAGAGACCATTCACTGAAATACTCAGAACACAGTGAAACACATGATGACTTTTTGCCATGCTTCTATAGACAAGAACACAGCTTTATGATAAACCTGTCCTGTAACGGAGCCTGCTGGCCAAGGCTCATATGAACCCTTCCATAATTTCAAGGATAGTATAGGCCAAGACCTGGTAAATCCTATTATTTGTTTTCAACCTCTGAGCAGCGGAAAATAAAGATATTCTTTCAGGATCTACAGTATGTCATAGATGCTTTGTCACAGCCCCTTCTAGGCTATTGCAAGTTCCACTCCAGGTTTCACACTGTTTTGAAGATTAAGTATTGTTATACCCTCCCTGACCCCCACTCAATTATTTGTAGGACTTCTTTACTGCCTTTTGTCCTTGACCCTAAAAAGACCTAAGACAGAGACATTGCTTCAGTTTTTTTAGTCGATGACTCTGTCTTACTGCAGTAACACGGAAATTACCACTCCTCATCGTCCTTTGCTATCCATCACCCATAAGCATTTACATCTCAAGCTTTAAGTAAAAAACACCGGGAAGTATTTTAATTATGTCAACGTGAGCAACAAGTACTGTCTCATTTCAATCAAACATAAACTGCTTCTGTAGCTAATTTTTCTTTTTACATGAGCAACAACTACTTAGAAAATTAGGTGGAGAAACAATTATTCAATCAATATATATCTTATAAAACATACACAAAATTTAACATCGCCATTCTGTTTCTATAATTACAGCAAACTGGTTATTAAAGACATATGGGAATAATGCATCATCATGCTGAAGTGTAATACAGATCATACCTTATTTGTATTTAACGTCTTTAATTTCTGGAAATCAAACCTGCTGCAGTACTAATAATGACAGACTTTCATGACTGAGCAATGAAAGCCAGAAAGAACAAAGGTCCATGAGTGGCCATTTGCCCCTACTGTGGGAAACACTGTGCACGTTACACACCCCTGATCTTGGACTATGATCCTAAGTCAGCATTGCAATACAAAGCAAGAAAATTAATTCGACATCTACAGTCCAGAAGAAACTTTTTGGTTCCTTAAATTGGGTACTATTTGAACTCTCCACACAAGCAAGAGAAGACACGGTTATGAATCTATAACTCTACTCTGACTGCAGCACGCATAAAAAGTAACTGACCATTACTCTCTTACTTATCTGCAGAAAGCAAGCAGCCTAGAATTAGAGTGCATTTTAGTAAAACTATTTTGGCGTAACTAATACAAAATATTTCACTGCTGTATAAAAGTTCATAACAAAAGACCAACCCCTTGCTAGCTAGCAGAAAGCATAATAACTGTTACAATAGTTCACAGCTGGGCCAAGGTCCCTTCCCAGGCAGTCTGCAGAGGAACAACAGTCGGGGCTCTTACTTCAGGTGCCAGTAAGAGGCAGCCACCCTTCCATTGCAAGCCTGCGTTCACCAGCTGCCCAGCGGATGTGGAGTTTCCCCCTCTAAGACGATGGAAATATTTAACTTTCTTCTCTAAGCATCTCCTAGTTTTTATGTACCCTGGTGCATCTACAAATACTACCTTTTCCCACGATCTTTTAAACTCAAGGTGTTCCTCATTCACACTGTACTAATTTTGCCTCCCCTCCCTGTAAAGTAACCCTCTGTATTTAAGTCAGGATGTAGCCATTAAAAACAATGCCATGAGAAAGAACTTAATTTTGATTTTTATTTTCTCATGCAGTCCACTATGTAGAAATATCTTTTCTTTATAAGCAATAAATTCCACTGCATTTGACAACATTACCTCACTATCCCTTGGCTGGCTTCCCATTCGAATTTTGCAATTAAAGGCACGAATACAGAATGATAGCATCATGTCACTAACTTCCTAGACTCAAATAATTTACTTCTTCCAGTTAGTTACTAGTTAACACGGTTGGGAAATAAAGCAATAGATGAATAACGCTATAAACTACTACTAATTTTTTTGCAGATTTATTCATGTGCAGAAAAATAGAAAGGTAATCATTAATATATTACCTTAACAGGAGTAAAGTTTCACTACATAAGAATACTTGAACTACAAAAGCATATTTATGAAAGCAACCATTTGTGCTTAGTGGTTAAACTAAGTTATGGTGTTACATGTATGGAGAGAGAAGGGGTAAAACAAGGCTTTGTAACACAGTACAGTTGTTATTATACACAAACACCCAGTGAAAATATGAAGTTCTATTTCATGTGAAAAGTGTAAGTGTAGTTTTCAAAATTATTTTTGTGATTCACGCACAGAAAACCTCTCCTAGGCAAACAATTCTGGAAGGTCAAATCTGGTCCACAGTAGTTACACTGCATCTCTTTATCCAATGTCCCGATTGCTAAACTTATAAAGAGGGAGAAAAGAGAGTTTAGACTAGTCTATCATTTCTCAGTGCCTGGCCTGTGCACAACTGCCAACAGCAAGGTGCCCTCCTGAAAACCATGAATTGCTATAGGTGAATTAAAACCTCATCATTAAGTCATAACCTTTACATCAGTGACACCTCTCACCTTCCAAAGTGCTGTTGGCAAGACTATGCACAAGTCAGTCTTGAACTGACCGTCACTGTGGTTTCTCTCCCAAACAGATCAAACTTCCTGGTGACCCGCTTCATGGACAGGACCACCTGCCCGAGTTGCAACATCTGCTCTGTAGCTCTGGACCAGAGAACCCAGACTTCATTGTATGTTCAGGACCAGCTATATTTACATGAAAAAAAATTACCCCTGCAGTTTCCAGCTGATATATACACAAGTTGATACAGCAGTGTGACAGTGTTCAAAGCCATCCTATCTTTCAACCCTGCATTCAAGCACTGCAATTAAAACTTTTCATGCCTAATAGCCTGAGCTAAGGTGACCAGATTTAATCACACTAAAAACAAACACACTAGGGAAGAGAAGCAAGTTTCACTAATAAGCTATGGTGGAATGAATGCTGTCAAAAATAAGTTCAAAGACCTTTAGTGTTACGAGGTTTCCAAAGTTTATTAAAAGTCAGAATTTCACCTCTGTACACTGCCTCAAATTCATTTTCTAAAACTGAATGCAAGTTTCCCAGTAACAAAAATACAGTAGAAGTTCATTTGGACACTAGCTGCAGTTTGACAACTTTTGTAAAAATTGGTGCAGTGACCATGTTCACTTAAATGGCCACTACAAGCAAAATATCAGCCCTCTGTGCTGAAAGGATAAAGGATAATAAACATTTAATCTTTGGCTTCAAAAGACAAGAAAAAGGAGTAAGTTTAATACAGCCACACACTTAAAAATGAAAAATTAAATTCCTCTTGCCAAACTCCTTCCTCCCCAGTTTTCCAGCTTCACTCTTCTAACTTTCTTTATCCTGCTCTCCTGTTGCTGTATTTCAGCAAGTCTGATCCAGAAATTCAACAGATGCTCTTGTATTCAGCAAACAGCAACACTCAGAAAGGTTCCCAACCAGTTTTACTCCCTCAAAGTCTCTGCTACCTCCACACTGAGTCAAGGCAACTATTAAAGTTATTTACCCAAGATATGCAATACATACTGAAACAATGCCGTATGACACAAGCACGCAAAAAGTATTTTCAAAAAA